AACTTCATTTATCGACTCGAAGAAGGTATTGTTGGATGCTCCTTCAATATCTATAAAGGTGCCCAGAGCCATCTCTTTAGGACGGCTCCGTCTCTCCAGTCTCTGAAGAGCTGTCTTCGCCGACTGTCATGTAGGCGTGTTGATTAGGATGCATCGGTATTATTTTTAGTGCCCCATTCCTAATAAATATATGCACCAGTTTCTCCATATTTTTTAAATGAAACGAGGATAGACTAATGGGTCTATAGTCCTTTGCCGTATCGTAGTTACAATATCCTGGCTTGGGGATGAATACCACTTCAACCTTTCGCCAGAATTGTGGCACGTAGCCCCGTGCAACGCAGGCTTTGAAGAGGCGTATCAAGTGCAGGGTTAGTGTTTTAAACCCTTTTGTAAGAGACCCAGAAAGATGCCATCGGGTTCCCCGCTTTTAAAAGGTCCAAATAGATGGATAGCCCACTTTATGGAGATAGCTACCTTTGCAGCTATCTTCCAGTAAGTTGGCCTTACGCCAGCTGGTAAAGCTTGCCTTAGTGGTTCGACAGTTTGAAGGATTTATGAGCCCAGGAAGTGGGTTTCCCGGAGCCATTCAAGTGCCTCCTCCGCAGTGGTTCAATAGTCACCTAAGGGAAGCTTTCGTCGTGGATCCTTTGAAAAAATCTTTAGAAGCTTGGCTGCTGCTGGAAGCTCGTCTACGTTATTGCAGAACGTCCTCCAAGATTTCCTTTTGGACCTTTTCATGAGATCTTTGTACCTGCTCTGAGACTGCTTGTGGCTGTCCCAATCCGTAAGTGATCTTAACCTAACTAACTATTATATCTGTTTAAACAATAAAATTTACAAAAAAAACTAATATTACAAAATGAAAAAATCAGTACGGAAAATATCGATAAATTAAGTCCTAAAAGTTTTGTCACAATAAAGAGCATTCACATTGTTCAAATATTGAAAAATTTGTTGTTTAGTGATCAAATATTAAAGATTTTAAAAAATGTAGTAAAATTTGCACAAACATAAAAGTTGTTAATGCGCTGATTTAAGAATATAATTCTTAGCACACAAAATATGAGCAAGAAAAGCAAAATCTTCTTTTGAGACAAAAGCTCATTTTTAACATTTTCCAAAATCAAATAATTTTTTTTTAAATAATTGCAAGGAAACAATAAAAAAAATCGACTTTTTTTTCTGAAATATCATCTCGGTAGGTACCAAAAAAGATATATGTAGAGGTCGCGCATCGAGAATTTCTATTTTCCATTTAAATAACATGGGAATTTTTTTATAATTTCCTACCTCACAAACTACCTAATTAACAGAGTTTTATGCGCTATATATATTTAAGTACTTATGGAATTGAACGCTCTAAAAGAAAAAATGTCTCCTTTCATTTTTCGATAAACCAAGGAGTTAATCAAAGTCAAAGTTAAATTTATGTCAAAATTGCATTTTTTACTTTCTTTTACTTTAGGCAAATTCATTAAAGTTATTATCAAATATAAATAAAAATCATTTAAAGACTCAAAATTACTATGTTCAATAAGCCTTTTAAATTAATTCCACTGAAACACATACTATTTCTGGAAAGAATTGTTTAAAATCCTTTTTGATTGATTATTTCCCTCATTATAATATGAACCAATCAAAAGCCTTGAATTTTCGAATAAATTTCGTTTAAATAAGCGATGAATGCCCGTATGCACCGTTTTAAAGCCTAAGCCTAGTTAGAAAATCGCGATTATGTTAATCTTTGTCCATCATAATGCACCGTACGCGGATTGTGCAATCTGGATTGGCGATTTGGCAAAGCTGTTTTATTTGTCAAGAAACCACAAAAAACTGTAAATCGTACATTCAAATCGATTGACAACTATAGAGAAACAAACTATGTTGACAAACTAAAATTTAAATTTTGTTATATGCCTAATATACACTAACTTTTATATGGAAAAATTTTTTGGATCATCCTTCTTCTGTCTATAAAATGGGAGACCAGTATTCCTAACTTTTCACCAGCGGAAAAAGAAAATCTAATGATGATTGTTATGAGGTATTCTAAAATATTGGACAAGACAAAACTAACAGAACTGGGCTTCAATATTCAATTTCATTAAGAAAGTTTAGAACGGTGGGTTTAGTGAATCGAAATAGGCGAAAAAACGAAAAATTGTCCATGGTGTCAAAATATTTGCTCCTTTAATAATTTCGTCGCGGAAATCAAAAATTAATTATGTCCAGAATATCTTGATCATCTTCTACAAATAGTTCTTCTTCTAAATCCGTTATTTAATTATATTTTTTACTATTTCTACTATTACTAGTTTTTGAAATCTATTTTGAAGTTTGGAACTAAAAATTTGGTTAGAAAATCAGTTAATCCTGCGATTAAACCTACCTCGTCGGTGGATCTCGTAATCGAACACGTAAACTACATTTTTCGCGCGGTGCATGATAAATTTTCGAACTAATCAGATTAAACTCCTAATCGAGATTAAGTCCATACGGTGCATACGGGCATAAATCACTAGAACTATTTAACAGCGATTAAATTTTAGCCTCCATATTGGATTTTTGTTTACGATTTTATGGTGTTATTTACAAGTTTGAACATACATTTTTAAAAAACAATAAAAAATAAGTTATCTAGTTTACGAAATATCAATTATTACTTATTACATACCTACCTTAAATTAATATAATTTTCTTTAAAAAAATATTTATAAATTTTGACCTTAAATTAATGGAATTTTCTTTAAAAAAATATTTATAAATTTTGACATATACGTTAGATTTTATGAATTGTCAAATAGTTTCCTTTAATTCGAGAAATAATCTAGACGTATATCTATGTATCACTCAACCTATAAATTTAATCTGTCAAACTATGCTCAGTAAGTTTTTTATTTGATTTTCCTTTTTGTAAAATAGTTTCATGCAAAATAATTAAAAATAAAACCCCTCGTGATTTTATTAAATTATTTTGCATTCAACATTTTCCAACAAAAACCAAACAAAAAACTACTGAGCCTAGTTTAACCGATTAAATTCATAGTTCTCGTGATATAATATATGATTAAAATCCTTTTTTATTGATTAAAATCCTTTTTAATGAATGTCGGTTTTTGTTACAATGTCTTGTACCATCTTCAGGTCTTATCTTCTGAGCTGCTGTTGCTGCTCTGCTGCGAGTTAGACGTGGACCCGCAGCAGAGCAGCAACGGCAGCCCAGCAGATAAGATCTGAAGATGGTACATGAGATTGTACCGAAACGTCGTCAGACATACGGTTCTTTTAAGAACCAAAAACCGGCAACACGAAGCAGATATGTATTGGTGGTTTTCCGGGATCTGCTCCGTGTTGTCGGTTTTTGGATTTTAAAAGAACCGTATGTCTGACGAAGTTTCGGTACAATCGCATGTACCATCTTTAGGTGTTATCTGCTGGGCTGCTGTTGCTGCTCTGCTGCGAGTTAGACGTGGACCCGCAGCAGAGCAGCAACGGCAGCCCAGCAGATAAGATCTGAAGATGGTACATGAGATTGTACCGAAACGTCGTCAGACATACGGTTCTTTTAGGAACCAAAAACCGACAACATGGAGCAGATCCCGGAAAACCATTAATAAATATAACGCCCGTGGAAACCTAAAGCAGAATATACAGGGTGAGTCATTTAACTTGAAACTTTGAAACATCTCAGTTAGTATGCATTTTACAAAAAAATGTTTAAAATAAAAATTAAATGATTCCAGGGGGGTATTAATTAGTACTAAAATTGGTCCTCATACTCTCCTACTTATAGGGGGAACAGGGGGTAACTTTAAAATTTCCAATGGAACACCCTATTTTTTATTGCAGATTCATTCGACTAAAAATAGGTAGATGTTGTCGAAAACAATTTGTTATATTTGTAATAGATGGCGCTGTAATGAAAAAAAATCAATGTTGTTCGATTTTTCTATAAAGTGTGTCCCCGGATAGGTGAAACGACTCTTGTAAAATCAGAAACAAAATTCAATTTTTATTTTCAGGGGTTCAGCCCTGCTTGGATTTTTAAGTCTGTTTTAATTAAAAATTATGTTGTTTGTCATTTGATAATATGATGCTTTTTATAAAGAATGGATTTTTTTAAAGGTTGTACAGCCATTCCACGCTACTCGGGATTTTTGTAGCGTCCGTTGCAATAAAAAATTGTGAGTAAAACTTCCGTAATTATTATGCTTATATGTTTAAGCCTAATTATTACAAGCATAATAAACATGTTTGCAATATTAACTATTGTAACAGTATTTAATTTAATTACGGTAGCTTTTAATCACAATTTTTTAATGTAACGGACGCTACAAAAATTCCCGAGTAGCGTGGAATGGCTGTGTAATAATTTTCACATTATAACACTAAGCTAAAATGTCATCATGTCAGTTTAACATAACCTAATAATTGTGTAACAAAATCCAAGCAAATATTCTAATTAAATGCTTTAAAAATAGTAAATAAAAACGGCGTTGAAAGCTTATTAATGCGTCGCACACAATAGTGAAATTTATGCTCGGTTATAATATGAGCTTTATCCTTCTGATCTATATTGTTCTTGTTTTAAATAAATTTAAATGGTCTGCTTCGGCTATATCAGAGCAGTGATTAATATTGTAGTAATATGTATTTTTTACGAAACCATTATAGCGCGATTCAAATTGTTGCTTATTTTATAAGATTGTGCGTTTTTATTTGCAAATAATTTTTCTATGAAACCAAATTTCAGTCAAGTTCAATACACTACTAACTATTATGTGCAGTAATTATTTTGTAGCTCAGATGTGCAAAAATACGAAAACCGCTGGTGGCGACCTCTAAATAGTTATCCAGTATGAAATTGTTGGTATCAATATTTAAGTTTTGATACAATCTATGATTTAGGCTACTGCAGCTTCATTAAAAAAAGTGTTTTTTGAATCACCCTAGTGTGTAATTGTGTAACCATAATCCGATCCTCATATTTAACTTACCTTCTGATACAAAAACGTAAATAGATGCTGGTTCTGTATTGGAAGCTGAACATGTATAATTTCCGGAATCTGCATCGTTTGTATCTCTGATGGTCAATCTGCTTTGGGTTCTAGGTCCGGGTACAGTTTCCACCGAAATTCCACCTCTAGCAGTGTCGTAGTTGATCATGTGATCGTTGTGATACCAAAAAACATACTGCGGTGGAGTGGGACTCTAAAATAAAAAAGAAATCCTTTATAATCATAACTTTTACATTTTTTATGACTAAATTTAACAATTATTTATATGCTATTATTAGAGACTAGATTATATGCAACATAAAAGGGCTTTAATATGGATTTAAATATGCAATTTTAAATAACTGGCCTTTTACCTGGCCATTGGCTTTTGTTTTCTATCTACTTCAACAACATGTACCAATCGACGCACGTAAGGCAAAATGATGTATTTACGGCGTCAAAAATATTTATGATAGGCAAATGTCCAAACAGTGTTTTCCTTAGCTACTTTTATTGTTTTTATATAAAAACAATAAAAGTAGCTAAGGAAAACACTGGAAAACATCCCAAACCAACTTAAATAGATATATCTAGTTAAGTCGGTTTGGTGTTCAAAGTAAGCCATTTTTTTTATAAGTAAAGTACACAATATTTTGAATAATTCTAATATCGAAATTACCGTGCCTAAAACAAAATAAAAATAAGTAGCTACATATACATATATACAGTGTGACCCATTTGTTTGCGACTCACCCCTGTAAAATCTTTATTTATTGTGCGATTTTAACTGGACTTGTTTTAAAGTGAATATCTTGATTAACTGTATTTTTGGAGCAAAAGATGCCATATTAGTACAAAATACAAGGCCTACTATGAGTTTTAAAAAGTAGATTTTTAAGAATTTATATTAGCGATTTTTTTTAAACAAAATCTAAACACGGCACCATGTTACTATTAGTTTAATTTTATTTCAATGTTTTTTCATGGATAACTTGACAAAATAAATTTTTGTAGATATTATTGTGCATTTTTCTACTTAAAATTTTTCAATAACATTTAGTATAGGGTCTTTTGAGGGGTGATGAATCCAGTGCCATGCTTAGATTTTGTTTAAAAAAAATCGCTAATATGAATTCTTAAAAATTTACTCTTAAAAATTGACATAGTAGGCCTTTTATTTTGTAAAAATATGGCATTTAAAATACAGTTTATCAAGATCTACACTTTAAAACAAATACGGTTAAAATCGCACAATAAATAAAGATTTTACAGGGGTGAGTTGCAAAACGCTAATACACGTCCGAAATATAAACTTTTGTGAAGAACGCGCCTCCGAAATCGGATCCGCATTCGAAAAATCGGAGGCCAATTGGAAAGCAGCTAGGAGGTAAATTCGACTTGGAAACACATACAGATACACAATCCGTTTCACCGTTCTTACGATGAGGGCGCTACTGTTTTATACAGATTTTTACCAAATTAAGTATACCAGTTGATATACCTCCGAACACTTTCTATTTAACCGAAATTTGGCAACAGGGTACGGAGGCCATTTAATGGCACGAGTATGTATTTCTGTAAATGTATCTTATTTAAAAAAATTATATTTTTAATACATTAATAAAATAATGATATACATTTTATGATTGGACTCCTGAAAAAATAAAGGTATTATTATTACGAATTATTTTTGGGTTTAAACATTAAATACAAAGTGTAAGTCTGTAAACTGCTCAAAATGTATTCATATAATCGTTTATAACACTAAATACTCGTAAAAACGTTCTTTTTTAGGACTAAATATAGTTCTTCAAAGAGATCTCTTGTGATACACTTTTTAGCTCCACAACTTAAAAATAAAGACGAAAACACTTAAATGTGGAAATATGTGGGAAAAAAAATAATTTCCTCGTAAAACCAATATTTAATGCCATTGATTAAGCTGGCGCTCAAAGCGAAACTTTGCGAAACTTTTTTTATAACCTTTTATCAAGTTTAATAATAAACTAAACAATGCAAATTTTACTCTGTTTAGATAATTGAATAATTCACATAGAGAAATTAGATTTACATCGTTAATATATATGTTGATTTAAAGTACTTACAACATGGTAACACCTCCATTTTAAAAGTTTTAGATTTACTTCGCGGTGACTGCAAATTTACACAATGTATTAGCACTAAATTTGGCAAAATACAGGTTGCGCGCACGACTACCTGACAACATGCGAATAATATGACATTTTTTCAACCCTGTCTTTATCCGTTTTACAATTTTTTTGTTGTTTCTAAGGTTTTAAATATTTGGGAAGATTTTGCTATGTAAATAAACGAATATTATTGTATTCTGTTTTTTTACTTTTGTCGCCGTAAATACCTCATTTTGCCTTACGTGCGACGGCTTGTTTTGGTATTTTGGACCTTAGCCTTATGACTATTTTTAAACCAAGTAACCTTTACTTCAATAAAATTAAAAAATACCAAATCGCCCAATCGTGTTGGTTAATTTTTTTTTTTTAAGTTTTTGTATATTAGTACGTTAAACGTTTAAAATACATTTTGATTCGTTTTGAAAAACCCCACCTAAAGTGATTAAATTTGTATGATTTTTAATTTCTTAAATCCTGTTCGTTTTTAAACAATGTTTCATTGAGTGTCCGAAGTTGTAAGTTAATTTTTTAAGTGTTGCTGAACAAGTTGTAAAATTCTACATTTTGTTTATTTTTAAAGGTTGGAAAAAAATTAAAAGGTGGATCCTAATTAAAATTAATTTCATATGAAGTATTTTAATTTTGCTAACAAAATATAAACTGCATTTTGTTACTGAAATACCTGAGTAAGGTAATTAATTACATTTTTTATTTAAACTGTAATTACGGTGTAATTACTTACCAGGGTTTATTTACATATCTTTTTTGTACGTGTAAGTGGTGCAAAAGTCATGCCTTGATATATATATTTGAATAATTGCAACAATAATTAACTTCATGCGTTAAAAACATTAATTAATATATCATCATCATACATTAGCCATATGCTGGCCTTAAAAACTTTCAGAATCTATGGTCGATTCACATACCCACATTCCTTCAAATATCCCCACAGAAAGAAGTCCGGCGTGGTCAAATCGGGTGACCTGGGTGGCCATGGTAAATCGTATTTCAAAATACGTCGTGGCATCATCCTGTTGGATCCACACGACTCCTTTTTCGAATTCTTGCATTTCCGGTGCTAAACGTTTATCCAGCATCGTCCAGTACCATTCCATTCATAGTTACCGTGCAACATCTTCGAAAAAATACCGACCAATTACTCTGCTTGCTGTGACGGCGCATTGTACGGAGTTTCATAAATGATTCGCGGATTTTCACAATATTCCAGACGCCTTTCGAAGTCTGCAGGCTCTAGGCGTTGCGTAACTTATACGAGTACATCAAAATTCTTGACAGACGGGAAATGCCTTATTGCGTTGATCGCTTTCTTGTGCTTAGGACTTTAGCATGTGCCCAACATCTTCTTTCACTAGGTCAATATAACCTATTGATCGGCTTATGGCCTTTGTGGTCTTCCAGAAGGCGTAGCGTCGTCTATAGTCCCTCTTTCCTCAAGTCGTCTAACAATATTTTGTATTTTTTTCGGATTTAGAACCGGACGACATATTAATTTCTCACTGCTCTACTTTGCAGTTTTGTTAATAATAACACAAACGTTTTGAAAATACTTCTGTCAACCATGTCGACCTCAGCTGCCTTATTTGAATTATTCTATAACGATTTTTAAAGTAAGATATTTTGGTTTATGACGCTAGACGCTAGAGTTGCCAAGTTTTGCAAACTTTAATTCTTTATAATTTTAAAATTACTCTACACTTAAAATGACTTACGTATTATAGCTTTAGTGCACCATTTTCGTGTAAACATATATTACAGTTTTAATATTTTGAATTGAGTTTTAGTAATAATTTGTTTAAATAATTAAATAATTTTATGCATGCGCATTGGTTATCTCTGCTCCAATTAGGTAATTTTTATTAAAAACATAATTTATTATAACCTCACTACCCAGATTATATTTATTTTAGTCGCCACTCGTATATATAAAAAATTTGACATCTGTTAAAAGTTCCAACCTCATTTTTCCCAATTTAAAACCTTATTAAATTACAGTGAATATTAAAATTAGCCAATCACTGATGCCTAACAACGTGAATAATGAGTTATTATTCCCGTTGTTAGGCGGGGGCGGTTATAATGGTTACCAGTACCTTTTTATGGAAAACCCCAAATAATGTCAATCGCAATAAAAAGAATACTTCTCCAAACATTATACATGTGCACCCACAACATTATTATAACTTGCTTTAAAAACAATCAAATAATTATATTTTTAATAACATTACGGACGCGTTTACCCATCATTTAATGTAACGTAATGTAATGTAAAGTTGACCAACTTTTAACTTATATTATTATTATTATTTAAATTATATTACATAAAAATGAATCTGCGCTTGCGCGGCGTAATACCAACTTTATTTACAACAAAATTTCCCATTGAATGTTTGTTTTCATCGGTTTAAAAAAATACAATTTACTAAATGTTGAACAAATGGCACAATTTTTTTTTAAATTACATTAAATTACGTTACGTTACATTACATTTAATGCTGGTTAAATCCACCTTAAAGCTTTGTTTAAAAATGTGTTAACTTTTTGGCTTTGAAAATATTTAACAAAATTAATTATATAATTTGTTAAAAAATTTTAAAATATTTTTTGTTCTAAAAACATTCCAGAAATCTTAATTGTATCTGGAAAAATGTTAATTGTGCTGTAATCTTAGACCTTCTATATATTCATACCATATGGTATGAATAAATTCAATTAATTTTAATTATGTTTGGGTAAGTTTTTTTAATGCGGATAAAATAATACACATCATGTAAAAAATTAGGACCCATGGGTCCTATTTTCAATTTATATTTTACGTAGCTAATAAATTGCCATATATCGTGATAAAATTTACATCATTATTCCCAATGCAAATTTTATATTCTTATCATACGATAGGAAACAGCTCGAAATTTCATATTTTTACAGCTTTATAACTTAATAAAAGTGAGAAAAGATATACTGAAAGTTTTGCAATCAAAAAATTAAAAAAACAGCGTAATATAAAATAAAAGTTTGGTGGACACAATAAGAAGTTAAGTAA